GTTTGAAATATTTGTGAATTAATAAATTATATTGCTTCTAGTATGTTTACAACTCATAGCTGTTATTTATTGCTGTCTTTCTATATTTTTTATATATATATAGAGGATAACCTTATCCATTTTGTTACGTTGCATCACCTAAGAAGTGTACATTCAACTTTCCGTAAGGAGGGAGGATACGAAACTGCCAGAAGAGCTTTGCTACAGTTTTTCTGCCAGCGGGAATCAAGTTTTAGGGATATAGACATTATCGTGACATATAAGGTCTAGGTGTAGGGTCCTATTCAGCTCTAGCAATGTACCTTTTCACTTCAAAAATGTAAAAAAATGGATGTCTAGTAATACACTAAGGTTGAATGTGGATAAGAATAGATGGAATTAATGGTTATTGGTGCACATAAACACATCAAGCGCCCTGAGAACCTTACATTAGATGGATATGTGCGCTATATAAAACTACACTATTATTATTATTATAAAAAATGATGGAAAACATGCAGAATTATTAGGACCAAAGTTATTCCTTTTACTTAAAGAAATTTGCTCCCAAACCCTTTTTACTACAAGAGATTATACCTCAACCCACATAATAATTCCCCCTGTATAAAATTCCCACGTATTTCTCTTCCTCACATATCCAACCTACAGTTGAATATGTTACTCTTGTCTTTGGCCTTTTTATCTAAATGTGGTATTTATTATATTTGCCAAATTTTACCATCTTCTCTAGATTCAATATAATTAGGTATAAATATAATTTGAGTGTGGGAGGAGGGGGCAGGTTTGTTGATATACTAGATAGATAAAAATTTATTTATTTATTCCCAATCTTTAACCAGGATAGCCCAATCAGTCAAGTAGACTGGTTTCCCTTGGGGCCCTTGGTATACCAGATGAGTGTGGGCAGCTTTGACAGCTGTCTACGAAAATAAAATTATCTTTATATTTTGATAAATTCCAGTTTGCAGAATGCCAAATTTCTGACAAATATCAGAGACCCAACAATCCCTAACTGATGAATGCAGAATCACTGACATTCACTAAGCTGAAAACCAGTTTCCCGATTCAAACTGTAGTTAGTGTAGGTTAGGGTTAGGGAATGCAAGTTTCTTGACAGGATCAAGGCCCCCCCCCCCCAAATCTTTTGCTAGCAAGATACTGATTACGCTGGATATCACGATGGTCACAGTAATATCCACTTTTGCCGGCCTACCAGAAAGCATATAATTTGATATGTAGTATAATTCTGTTACCCAATATTTGATAGCTATCCTTCCCTCTCAATTGGCAGGTGTCAACAATATGGGGGGAGTTTAAGGTTATAAGAATCAACAAGTTTATTTTCTTGTCAATGTCACCAGATGTTCTGAACACGGAACGATTATTCAAATAATGAAAATTTTGCATTTGGGAAACACTGGTGAATTGGATTGTTTAGATATTCATTTATAAAAATTATTTTGACAGACCTCATATAAATGTGAAAGCTATGAATATTTAATTTCTATGTAACAAATCAAGTCAAAATACTTTGTAGCAGCAATGGCTTATATGGGGAGTGGCAAACGGTGCTTATTCCTACCTCCTCAACTCACCTAACCAGTGGCGTAACACTCATGCACTCTTGTGCGAAGGTCCGCAGGATCCCTAACCCCTAAGGGCACCTTACCACATGGTCTCGATCCAGCACCCTTGCCCAAAAGGACTTTGTTGATACACAACAACATAATGTGTCTCTGACGTGGACTGTATATAATATTATATCCAGTGGTGAATTAAAGGGGCCCCTAAATTTTTAGGTTTTAAGTCTGTGAGTGCCATTTCCAGCCATTCAGAGGTGCCGTAATCATAAATGTTCTTACCTCAGCCCTAACCATGGTGAGGCTGTGGTGACCCTTTATCAGTAAAAGTCTCCCTGGGCCTATATTCAACATTCCTGAACTCATATCATATCATTTACTTTTGTTGATGAAAACATTGAGAATGCAATAATTAAAAAAGTAAGTACATCTAAAATCCCACATTGTAATTGGCGACCGGGACACAAAAGGCCCCCAACCAACAATGCTATGTTTGGCTAACAGCAACCACAGGACTGTTTCATATTGATATTTTAGATTGTCCAGAAATAAATACAAATTTATATATTATTAATGAGCATACAAGTTTATATATTAATACATTTTTTCTAACTCGGGTGTTCTTCCATTGTGGTATTCGACAGCCGAATATGTGAAAAGTTATCGTGTTGAGCTAGGCCTCCATTCTGTCCTAATCTGAGAAGACTTGGTTCTACCCATGGGCTAGGAGCGGCTGGACCAGTGCCGACGTTAAGGCTCTATTTAGCGGCGCCCCTGCCTTACCGTTCGGCCACTCAACTTGTTATTCCATTTTAAAAAATTATTTTGACAGACCTCATATAAATGTAAATTCTATAAATATTAATTTCTGTGTAAAGGATACTACCAATGCATAGAAGTAACACATCAAGTAAAAATACTGGGTAGCAGCATGACTGGCATATCTAGGGGGCAAAAAGGTGTTTATATCCCTCCACCTTCACATCACCCAACCAACAATGTCATGTTAACATAAAGCAACCCTCAGGACTGTTTCATATTGATATTTTAGATTGTCTAGAAATTAATAAACTCATGACGTTCCTTGAAAACACAAGAGCATATACAAGTTAATATAAATAATGCATTTTAATTTAATCATTTCAGATCAAAATGTATCTTGCAATTGCTATACAACTCAGCATTATCTGCATCATCCAAGCAGCTGCTCAAGGTGATACCCAAGTTTGTAGTGGTTGTTGTACTGCTCCTGCAGGGATTCCTGGAATTCCAGGCAGCCATGGTAATCCTGGTGGTCTTGGTCCAATAGGCATGAAAGGAGATGTTGGAGTAAAAGGAGAGAAGGGAAACCAGGGATCAGATGGAAGAGATGGGCTTCCAGGTAAAATAGGACCAATTGGTTTACCGGGTGCTACTGGTGAGAAAGGAGGAAAAGGAGAAAAAGGTGAACAAGTTGCTCCCACAAACAGCCAGCCCAAATCTGCCTTCTCAGTTGGATATAATGTAAACCCAGGCCGCCATCCAGTTAGTCCTATGAAATACCCGTTAATAATTACCAATGTTGGGAATCACTACAATAAAGAAACAGGCAAGTTTGTCTGTCAACATCCAGGCATCTATGTCTTCCAGTTTACATCAGGGTCAACTAGCAGTAACAACATGGTAACAAGCATCATGAAGAATGGGCAACGCATTCTCTCCGCATTTGTGACTGGTTCAGGCTACAAATCAGCCAGCAACATGGTAGTTCTTGATTTAGTAGCAAATGATGAAGTGTGGACTGAGCCTTTAAACACCAGCCTTAACTATTACTATAGTGAGAACCACATCTTCTGTTCTTTTTCAGGCTTCCTGCTTTATGCATCTGCATAAGGAAATTTGAAAACCTAATAATTACAAATCAGCAAATTGCAACAGAATGACATCTTTTTTAATGACTTTTTATCATTAGTAAATAATATAGTATTAGAAAAAAAGTAGGATACTAACTCAAGATATTACCAGCACAGAATTATCAACAAAGGTGCTATAAGATTTATGTAACAGGAATGTCAGCAGTCATTACAAAAATTCAATTCAAAATCTGTTTTGCTTCAAAAGTTAATTTCATTAGTAAATAATACAGTATTAAAAAAAAGTAGGATGCTAACACAAGATATTACCAGCACAGAATTATCAACAAAGGTGTTATAAGATTTATGTAACAGGAATGTCAGCAGTCATTACAAAAATTCAATTCAAAATCTGTTTTGCTTCAAAAGTTAATTTCCGCCGAAGGCTATTATCCACCATAAAAGAGACATACTTTGGTCTAACAGGTATAATGGTCTCCCATACATACATGTACTACCAATATGTTCTATATGATAGGTATATTTGTATTAAATAGCTTATTTAATAATGCTGTAAGTATAATCCGTACGAATTCTTAGCCTATTATGTAACATCATATAGTTGTTATTCATGATACTAGACTTGCCACAAGTTTCAAATGTATTGATTTCTCGTAGTATTAGATAATTTCAGAGAGCACCACCAACATCTGTTCATATCAAGAAACTTGTATGTTGTTGAATTTGGATGGGAATTAAACCAACAAAAAAGTATAGTATGGAACACCATGCAAATAAATAATATGGAACGCCATTGGTGCCAAAATTGATTTATTTTTACACGTTTTCACTGATTCATGATACTTACTTAATATACAATCTTAATATTTTATTAGGAGTAGCTGATGTTTTTCAAGAATTGTCTATCTATGAGTAGTATGAATAAAAGTAATTTAAAAATGAACAAACTAGTTAAAAATTGTTTGGTTTTAGTCTAAATTTGTGCTGCCATCACATCTCACTCACCAGGGTTTTGCTAAAGTGTGGTGCAAAAACCAAATGGTGGTATGTCTTTGATGTACAGTATTACCTGGCATTAAAATCAACTCCAAATCTCACTACTGAAATATTTGCAGGTCTATTTTCTATATGTCAAACCCCCTAAAAAAAATTCTTAAACCCCTTTTACAACTGCCAAAGCAGAATAAAGCTGTATTAATTCCAGATTGATCCCGAGTGCATTTCCTATTTACAATAGTTCCTATTGCATTACATGCATAGGAACTAAAAAGCAGAAAAAAATAGGAATTTCGACCATGAATCAGGAGTTCATCTTATACGCCCGACATACAAAAATCAGCCAAAAATCTTCTCAAAATCGGGAGTCGTCTTATACGCGAGTATATACAGTAATGGGGTACTCGCATAGTGTACAGGTATGTTTGACTCGCTATAGTGTGTGCAAGTATGGCTGATTCACTATGGTGTGCACAGTACATGTATAGTTACTCACATGGTGTGTGTAGGTATAGTTACTCACATGGTGTGTGTAGGTAGTTACTCACATGGTGTGTGCAGGTATAGTTACTCACATGGTGTGTGCAGGTATGGTTACTCACATGGTGTGTGCAGGTATGGTTAAAAGAGACATACTTTGGTCTTACAGGTATAATGGTCTCCCATACATACTACCAATATGTTCTATATGATAGGTATATTTGTATTAAATAGCTTATTTAATAATGCTGTAAGTATAATCCGTACGAATTCTTAGCCTATTATGTAACATCATATAGTTGTTATTCATGATACTAGACTTGCCACAAGTTTCAAATGTATTGATTTCTCGTAGTATTAGATAATTTCAGAGAGCACCACCAACATCTGTTCATATCAAGAAACTTGTATGTTGTTGAATTTGGATGGGAATTAAACCAACAAAAAAGTATAGTATGGAACACCATGCAACTAAACAATATGGAACGCCATTGGTGCCAAAATTGATTTATTTTTACACGTTTTCACTGATTCATGATACTTACTTAATATACAATCTTAATATTTTATTAGGAGTAGCTGATGTTTTTCAAGAATTCTCTTTCTATGAGTAGTATGAATAAAAGTAATTTAAAAATGAACAAACTAGTTAAAAATTGTTTGGTTTTAGTCTAAATTTGTGCTGCCATCACATCTCACTCACCAGGGTTTTGCTAAAGTGTGGTGCAAAAACCAAATGGTGGTATGTCTTTGATGTACAGTATTACCTGGCATTAAAATCAACTCCAAATCTCACTACTGAAATATTTGCAGGTCTATTTTCTATATGTCAAACCCCCTAAAAAAAATTCTTAAACCCCTTTTACAACTGCCAAAGCAGAATAAAGCTGTATTAATTCCAGATTGATCCCGAGTGCATTTCCTATTTACATCGAATGAAAAAGTCTGGGTTGCTCCCATTTTACACCGGCAAAGTGCTCAGGTTCAAATACCGCCCTCAATTTTTGTTGCGATGGTGATCATCACTTTGCTCGAGTTCGTTATTGTCAATATTGAAGGAAGTAATATGTCGATTGTTTTTAAATTATGCAAATTAAATCAGCAGTTATGATACCAAGTCTATACCGGAGTATTTTTAATACGAGGAAATAAGATTTTGACGAACATTTAAAAACTCATAAAATGGTATTATTTGTAAGACTAACTTTGCATTTGGCTCCGTTTTTAGCTAGCTAGATGCAATATCAAGATCACAAAAAACAGAAAAAATAGTAATTTCGACCATGAAACAGGGGTTCATCTTATTCGCCCGACATACAAAAATAAGCCAAAAATCTTCTCAAACTCGGGAGTCATCTTATACGCGAGTATATACAGTAATGGGGTACTTGCATAGTGTACAGGTATGGTTACTCACATGTATGTGCGGTTATAGTTACTCACATGGTGTGTGCAGGTATGGTTACCCACATGGTGTGTGCAGGTATGATTACTCACATGGTGTGTGTAGGTATGGTTACTCACATGGTGTGTGCAGGTATGGTTACTCACATGGTGTGTGCATGTGGTTGACTCACTTGGTGTGTGGAGATATGGTTACTCACATGGTGTGTGCAGATAAGGTTACTCACATAGTGTGTGCAGGTATGGTTGACTCACATGGCGTGTGCAAGTATGGTTGCTCACATGATATATATATTAGGCCTATTTTGTATGATTTTCACACCTTGGGGATTATCTGTTCATAGAAACTACAGTTATTATTAAGATGATATGTCTTATATTAATTTTATTGGAGAATATTGTGTCTGTCTGTCACCTAATTGTCTTGTTCCTGACATTTCATGAACCTACCACTACTTGGACTAATCGTGGATTGCAGTATAGAATAAATAATGTTTGTTTGATTATCTTTATACACAGTCAGATAGCTTGGGACGACAAGAATGATCCACACCTTATTTCCAGAAAGAAATAAGGTGCGAAGTTTTTTTGTTATTATTCCAGATACATCCTTAAGTACACCTGAAAACAGGATAATGTACTTAACGAAAGAGGGTAATTGGTTTTAGAATTAAAAAAACTATGATGTTGATCAATGATTTATTCCACCTGGATTTAAAAGATAAGTGAGATAAAGGAAGTCGATGCTTGTTCAGATATATTCTGCTGATAACTAAGATACACACCCGAGTTATAGGAAAAAATAATATGGAGAGTTCTTTATCATTTGGACATACATCCGTAACGATATCTAAAATCAGGAACATTGTTTCTTAATATTGGTTTTGGAATTAAATAAAAAAGTTGTTGAACCTTCATTTAATCCAGCTGGATTCACAAGATAAGAAAAATAGAAAAAGTTCAAGAAATCTGATTGTATATAAAGTTAATCAGAACAACAGAATGTTCATTCAGTATATAAGACAGCATTAAGGAAACAGCACATAGAAACTGCCAAAGGAAACTGCAAACTTCTCTCAGCAGCATCTCACAAGACATAGACAGAAGACTGAGGAAAACTTTAAGGTAAGTAGAAAATGAAATAGGTTTGCTGTTGGTTACTGTACTTAGTAGCATGCTTGTGAATATCAATCTGGAGAAGCCTATGTCCTACATAAATTAGGCTTTGTCATTGTGCATATTTGTAGTTTAGTTTGGTTTAATAGTTTTTTTTATATACAATTGAATTCATGTACCTTACAGTGTTTTTTAAGAACACCCGCAGGGTGAAAGAGTCCCTTTAAAAAAGTTTTGCTTGCAACTATTCTTTTTTAATAGTCTGTAGTTTAGCTTAACTGTAAGTAGGATGGTTATGGACCTGTCTCTTATACACATCTAGATGTGTATAAGAGACAGTACCTAATCATAACACCAACTATTTTCAACACAATATTAGATACACTGGTCCTATACTCTGGAATAATTTACCATCCTCAATTATGAACTCAGTTTCCGTGAAGTCTTTTACCAATAAACTCAGGAATCACCTTGTTTCGCAATACAAAAATTAATTTAATCGTGACTCGTATTGCTTGCGTGTGTTTGTGCTGTGTGTTGGTTGGTTTGTTTGTTTGTTTGTTTTTTTATCTCTCTGTGTTTTTGTGATTTTGTGTTCAGGCCTGCCCAATACAAGATTTTTTTTATATAAATCTTCTCGGGCATGTGCCCTCTTCCTTTTGATTTTGTTTCACAAACCTATCATTTTTAATGAACTCTGTTATTCAATTGCAAATGGAAGAAAATAAATGTATTTTAAGGAAACAGCACATAGAAACTGCCAAAGCAAACTGCAAACCTCTCTCAGCAGCATCTCACAAGACATAGACAGAAGACTGAGGAAAACTTTAAGATAAGTAGAAAGTGAAATAGGTTTGCTGTTGGTTACTGTACTTAGTAGCATGCTTGTGAATATCAATCTGGAGAAGCCTTATGTCCTACATAAATTAGGCTTAGTCATTGTGCATATTTGTAGTTTAGTTTAGTTTAATAGTTTGAATTTATGTACCTTACAGTGTTTTTTAAGAACACCAGCAGGGTGAAAGAGTCCCTTTAATAAAGTTTTGCTTGCAACTATTCTATTTTAATAGTCTGTAGTTTAGCTTAACTGTAAGTAGGATGGTTATGGACTTTGAATCCCAAAAGAGGGTTCAATGTTAGTCATTATGTCCTTCAAAAAATACTTTATTTTGTACTTGTCAGAATGTCATCACCCTATTCTTATTCATTGTACCGCACAAAATTCATGTAATTTCATCCACAAAGCAGAAAACACTGCAATGTTGCAGAACTGATTTTAGATTAATAGTTTCATTTTCAATTCATTTTATATGTTCATTAAGGGGGTGGGGGCGGGGGTGGCATCCAGTCTGCCTCCATCCTATATTGTGTTATTCTAAATTTTCTAAATTAATCTAGAGGTGCCAAAGTTATAACATTTCACAACTCGGCCCCATGGTGTGGCTGAGGTGGCTTAGACACTGCATATGTCCCTCCCCGGGTCCCCTTTATTTTGAATTCCTGGATTTGCCACTAATTACTTTCTGTTATGTGCATGGCAAAAATCGAAATAAAGGCTTTATTTTATTGTCATTTCTAAATATTTTACATTAAAATACAAATGCGAGGGTCTGCTCATAAATAAATAGAAATCCTAAATAACAATATCAGGTAATTAACCAGGGGTCCCAAGTTGGAAGGATCCACTTCCGGGAGATGAGATTTTTTAACACATCTAAATAATATTCTGCTGTGGATGGCGATACCCATTGACACTGACAACCAGGAGACAATTAATAATACAATATTAATAATTGGTAAAAACATGCAAATATTGTGGGAGATGGTTTATTTTCCAGGAGATCCTTGCTTGCTCGTGGGAGTGCGGGAGGCCTTCCCGATTTCCATGAAATTCCTGTGACTTTAGGGAGTCTTGGGACCCCTGTAATAAACTATCCCCTGCCTGACACTATAACGGTTGTGGTTTTCGAGGCCATAATGAATTTAATATTAGGATTAACTGTACTAATAACTAAAAACTAAATTATTGTTATATGGTAGAAAACTATCACCTGTCGCACATCAACCAGGTATTTCAAGGTTCTTGAGAACTGACTGTGTTATGTGGTGTGCATACAAATATCCATCTAGTTTTTACAGTTTAAAAATGTAGGGTAACATAAAAAAAAAATGCATGAACAGAAAAATTACGAAAGAATCACAAAATAAACTCTAATCAAAAGGTGATGAAATTGCATTTAAAAGCCTCTAAAGACTAACATTTAAAATTTTAAAACAAAATCATAGAAAAAAATTATATAGTATTACAAATATGTTCCACAAAAATGTGTTAATTAAATGAATGATTCATAAATTCAAACATGATATTTAAATTTATTTTAAGTACTGTAGTGAAGAATGAGAATCTCAATATTGCCCCAGAAAACATGGCCCTGGTAAGAATCCCACCCACTCATTATAAAATTCAGTAAATTAATTTAAAATTTATTTTTTATTTTAATTTTTAAGTATATAAAATTCTGCACAAAAATAAAAAACTAATCAATCCATCAATGAACCATTTGTTTTGGTGGTGTTTTTTTTAATAATTTAACCAATTAACATACCGTTTGTTTGTTATTTTAAATAAAATAATTTAATCAATTAATATATTATTTGTTTTTGTAAATAAAATAATTTATTTTTTGAAAGATGCTATTGTCAAATAAGTTAAATAAGCTTTTCAGCAGGAATTAAAAAAAAATGTTAATACCAGATCTTTAGTTACTGTATCTTTTAACTTACTGTATTTATACATAACAAAAATTTAGATTAATTTCAAATTGGGTAAAGAGGAGCATGTACGTTCTTATTTAATGATGTAGCTTATAAAACCTCATACATTAACAACAAATAAAAAAGTCAAGGTTCTCATAAAATCAGGTCAATATTAATGTGTTAAGGGAGCCTAGAATGTTCAATAAACCTGCCTTATTGTCTGCATAAGAATGCCTAAGCCCTTTGGGAAAATTTGTTAAAATCCAGGAGAAATTCAAATTCTTGGAGAGAAAATGTGGAGTTTCCTGGTTAGTGGGACATGAATTAAAATTCCTGGAGAACTCTATGGCAATCCTAGAGACTTAGAGCTCTGTTACCAAAAAAAATAAATAAATAAAAAAATATTGAAGGTGCTCTGTAGCTATTCCCAAATAAACAAGATATGAATCATTCTCAAAATAAGAGATTACCAACAGAAGATTTCACCCCATTTTGCCTAGGTTTGACCCCCTAATGTTGGTAAAAGTATGTAAGATGAACCCTGGGAATTGGGTCTGACCGCAGCCACCCTAAAAACAACCCAAAAACATTCAATTTCAACCCATTTAACATATGAACCAAAAAAAACTATGATTGTACATAATATGATAACCTAAAATCATATCAGATACCGGAGTGGGAAAAATTCCACCCCCAAACCCTATTCCTGTCTTCATGTATTAACCAAAAGGCTTTAAATTAAAATAATATGACAGTAAAATAATCAAAATCGGATATGTTTATATCGGTAGTGGTGTTGAAATGGTGGTGATATGAGACGAACTTCTAAATGCTCTACCTGACCTGACCACTCCTCCCCACCTTATTAAATCCCAAGTCATGTCCTTACTATTATCTTTTATGCATTGACTAAATATCCTAAGAGCCCAGTAATCTGATCCCACACCCCCTACCCCCCACATACTATGTCAATATTAATAACATACTTTTTAAAAAGTAAGTAGGCTACACCTACTCTGATACAAGTTGCAGTGTTCACACCCTTACCAGTACCAGTAAACCTTCACCCCACCCCTAAACTTCAATAAATTTATTCCATCTAATAATCCAAAAAAACAATGTACTAATGCACCTACAAAATATTGGGACATGTTCTGTCTTACCTACAGACACGCCTCTTCCACCAACATGCACTATGTATTATTTATTAATCACTTCCTAGTTTTAATCTTCCTAATCTTTAATCCTTTTCAGGGTTGTCTGTTTTTACTCATATTTTACCAATAACTTTGAATTTTCTACATTGACGACAACCGGAAGACCATATCCCCAATGTTAACAAAGAGATTATCGGGCTTTATCCTCCATAAGTCCTATTAAAATATTAACCACCTTAATTATTTGTAAATTTACTATTTTAAATTTATATTTAATTATAATAAATTGCAAATGTTTATTTTTATAAATCGTTATGTGTATACTTAAATTTCTATTTAATTATAAATTTCTATTTGATTATAGTAAATTGCTTTAAGTGTTTGAAAAAAATTAAATATATAAAGGGAATATAATAATTTAAGCTTATAAATATTGTATAGTAAATAAAGCAAATATAAATTTATGATATTATCACCATTGATAATGTTTACTTTTATTAGGGGTCATTCAACTTTATCAACATTTTTAAAAGTGTACAGACAGTATGCTAGGGGGGAGGGTGTAGACAAATTTGTACACTTTTATATACCGGTATGCATAAAAATGTTGATTCAAAATAACATGCAATATGTAAACAATGGTAAAATTATAATGTAACCGTGGATCTATTATTCATTTTTAAGCAAGCAAGTACACTGCTTTAGTTGACTTCACAAAAAAATGGAAAATGGTTTTTCAAAATCAACATTTTTTTGTACACTTTCAGGGGGGAAGGGAGGGGTACCAAAAAAGAGTACTGTTTGTACACTTGTGAAAATGTTGATAATTGTGAATGACACTCATTATGTTATGTATATACTTAAATTTCCATTTTAAGATGTATTGTCCCTTGCTAATGTCAAAAAATCATAAAAAATAAGTTTGAAATAAACTTGCTCATTTTGCAATAACATACAAATTATTGAATATTAAAAATGTGTACTCTGATTTTTAAACCAACAAATTATAACAAAAATATTAAAACACGTCCAGTGACTGGAAGTGTTTCTATCATTTTTTGCTGTAGACTGATGGGTAGACATTTTTTAAATACACTAATTTTTGTGTTGAATTTGATAACTTTTACGTTACTTCAAAAAAAATATTTTTATGATTTTTTTTAAATATTTAGCATGGGACAATACATCTTTAATCATAAATTTCTATTAGACTATAGTAAACTGTTATAAAAAAATATATAGAGGGGAATATAATAAGTTAAGCTTATAAATATTGTATAGTAAATAAAGCAAGTATAAATTTACAATATTATCTTTATATTGTTTATTAAAGTATACAAGAAGAGTCAGGAAGAAAGACAAAACAGAGCACCTTACAATTGTACCAAAAGTTCTATAATAATGACAATAGTTCATTATTATATTTTACTTGATTTTAGTAATTATCATGGGCAGACGTCAAGATGCCAGACTTATCACATTTCATAATTCGACACCATTTGTATTCTGGAGCTTAAACTAAATTTGATGGGATGGAATTTATATGATTGTCTTAGACTTCATATACCTTAGAGCATGAGGGAAAAAAACTGCCGTCTAGCGTTTTTACGCATGTATTCCACTCCAAAAACTTTTAAAAATGGACTTCATTTACAGTAATAACTTGGGTTTTGAATACATCTGATAAACTTTTCCACTTTGGTTATTAGTGTTCTGGCTAATTTTTAAATCATGCCCCACCTGACTGAAAGGTAACTGGGCATTCTATTAATTTAATAATTTAGGTTTTTATGATGAACACTTTATAGTACTATGTTCAAAAAAAAAATTTGGTTCATGTGCTAGATGAGTTGAAATTTACCAGTTTAATTTTAGGTGTTATTTTAGGGGTCAGACGCAATCCCTGGGTTTAATCTTATATACTTTTGTTCAATGACTTTGATGGCCTAACCAACTGGGATGAAATCCTATGTTTCTAGCTCTTAAGACTATAACTAGACTACTAACCATGTTTTTAAAGATGTATTGTCCCTTGCTAAATACCAAAAAAATCATAAAAATATTTTTTGAAATTAACTTGCCCATTTTGAAGTAACATAAAAGTTATCAACTTGAACATAGAAATTAATGTATTTAAAAAATGTCTACCAATCAGTTTACAGCGAAAAATGATAGCTGGAAGTATTTTATTATTTTTATTATAATTTTTTGGTTTAAAAATCAGGGTACACATTTTTTAAATTCAATAATTTTTATGCACAAGTTAATAATTTATATGCTATTGCAATATGAGCAAGTTTATTTCAAAATAATTTTTTATGATTTTTTGACATTAGCAAGGGACAATACATCTTTAAAATATATTGAGGCCTATTTATTGGCTACATTGTTTCTCAACCAGTGAAAATTTAGACCAATTAAATTGTTACACAATTCTCGACATTCTGCTTTGTTGCCCTTTCATACTCAAATTTCTAGAGTCCACACTTCAATTTTTTCCCTTTGGATTTTAAAAAACCTCACTCTCGATACATCCCCTCCTTCTATATTCATTGACATTGTGTGTTTGGCGGATTATAGCTCTTGATGGCTAATGAAGTAATAAAATTGAAATTTATTGAATTTAATTGAATAATTCATTTGTTACTTACACAATCACAAGTATTAGATTACAAAATTTTGCTATTTGTAATTCCTTTAGTTGGAGTCAAATATTTCCATTTTTATTATTATATCCCAGCTTAAATCGCATCTTTTCTCACAATTCTAATCTCTTTCATTCTTGTTTTTTCTTGTTGATTTCTTTCTTTTTTTTGTCATGACACTGGGTTTGAAAGACATTACATGTAGTATGCGCTATATAAATGGAAGACCATGACTATATAATTCATACAAAAAGTAATTCCAATGGCATTTACTATTTTATTATTCAGGCAAAAAATAATTCAAATGGCAACTTATAATGACATTAGATTCTTAAAAAAAAAAAAAAAATTTCAGTTTTTAAAAATGCATATGACACGTTTATCTATTACTTTAATTTTTGTTTTTTTGCAGACTTTAAAATAGTTAACAATTTTTTTAAATTTGAGTTTCATCGCTAAATTTTACCAATTTTTACCACTGTCATTTAAGGACATTTTACCAGGGATTTTATAAAATATCAGTTTCATTGCTAAATTTCACCAATTTTTACCACTCTTTCATTTAGGAGCATTTTTACCAGGGCATGATTTTCTGAAGCATTTTTTTCCTGGGCAATTTTTACCTACATTCCAATGGAAGGAATTAGTTTACTTGCTATGAGAATAAGTAAAATGGATGTATAAATATAATTGGGACAGGGGAGTGTTTTTCTATTGATGTACTTTTCCATTGATGTACTAGAACAAAGAAAGTTTTTTTATTGAATTCCAGTTTGTAGAATGCCAAAGTGCCAACTCTAATCTGCTTAAACCCAGTTTGCCGAAAAGTAGATTGCCAACATATTAATCCCAAATTCCTGTATAATGAAACCCATTTTGATGAAAACCCATTTTTCCGATAGGCAATACACTACATTAAATGTGATAACACAACAGTAGTTATCGATCACTGTTGCTTAGGAGGTTTAGTTTTCTTGATAGGATTCTGGGCCTGCCCAGACCCCACAATATCTAGGTTAGACACTTTTTTATACTTTGTTTCGCAAACTTTTTTTTTTTTAATCACCAGAAGGCGAGGCCAAAAAACATCCAGATTTAGGGTAAAATAAAAATGAAATGTTTATTGGTGAATGTAATGTAGTAATGGAATGGTAAACTACATCATTATCATTTAAAGTCTGTAAATAATCTATGGGTTTGACTGTTCACCATAACTTTCCTATTTTCTATTTTGCAAAGTTGCATGCATTATTCTTAACTTTTAGAGACTACTGCCAACAACTTGCTTCCAATGCTTGAAATTATATAATAAAGAAATATACATACCTTATTTTTTGGAGATTTCAAGGGAGCAGTGAGCATAATAAAAAAAAAGCAACTTTTATTTGTTTCTGCAACTACATATTTTTTAGGTGGTGGGTGCGCTAATTAGAATTAAAACTATAGTTTGCCAAATTCCATTTTACTGACCAAAAATTATGAAAACTGAATTTGCCAAATTTCAACCCACTATATTAAAAAACAGTTGATTGGGCAAAATTGATTCGGCAAACTGGCCTACAATAGATCCCTGCTTTTATGGTTTATATAAATATTTTGAATTGTCTAGAAATAAATGAATAATATCAAATCTTTTCCTGAAGCAATATGAGCATGGTGATACAAATAATATATAACTTAATCTTTTTCAGATCAAAATGTATCTTGCAATTGCCATACAACTCAGCATTATCTGCATCATCCAAGCATCTGCTCAACAAGATAGCAAATCCTGTGGAGGCTGTTGTACTGCTCCTGCTGGGATTCCTGGGATTCCAGGAAGCCATGGTGCCCCTGGTGTTCCCGGTCCAGTAGGCATGAAAGGAGATATGGGATGGAAAGGAGACAAGGGAAACGCAGGATCAGATGGAAGAGATGGGCCTCCAGGTGTACAAGGACCAATCGGTCGACCAGGTGTTCCTGGTGTGAAAGGGGAAAGAGGAGAGAAAGGTGAACAAGGTCTCACAAACAGCCAACCTAGATCTGCATTCTCAGTTGGATTCTCAGCAAATCCAGGACGTCTAACAGTTGGTCCAATGAAATATTCAAATATTATTACAAACGTGGGGAGTAACTACAACCAAGGCACAGGGAAGTTTGTCTGTGCACATCCAGGCACTTATGTCTTCCAGTTTACATCAGGGTCAGCTAGCACCGGTAACATTGCAACACGCATCATGAAGAATGGGCAACGCATTCTCTCTGCATATGAGAGTGGTTCAAGCTATAAATCAGCCACCAACATGGTGGTTCTTGAATTAGCAGCATATGATGAAGTGTGGACTCAGCCTCTGTCAACCAGCTATAACTATTACTATAGTAATGGCAACATTTACTGTTCTTTTTCAGGCTTCCTGCTTTATTCAACTTCATAAGCTAATAATAAAATTGTTGTTCCAAACAAGGACACAAATTAAAAAATATTTAGTTTTACTTTTTTTAAATGATTTTTAAATAAAGTAGTATTACCAGTAAAACAAAGTATTTCTTATATATGAAACTAGCAAAAAACATTCCAATTATGTCAATTAAATGTGATATAAGATTACACATTAAGAATAACATTATTTCAAACATTACAAACATTTCAAAGTATAACTCCTTTGCTTCTAATGAAAATGATACTGTGTATAGATTATAGTAGTATAATGATTAGGCAAGTTTTATTATTGGTATAAAATAGCTTATAATGCTACAAGTATAGTGCAAGGTACAGCAATAATGCAACCTAAAGGGCAACTAGTTCATCATATTTGACTAAATGTTTTTCTGGGATTATGTTACCTGGAATTTTCCATTATTATTGCAGAATGAATAAAAGAACCATCTGTTGGCGCATATTTGATATACAGTATTTTTTGGAGTTGACCACATACAGTGGCATATCTAGGGGTGCGCATGCCCTCAAATAAAGCTTTCCCCCCACCCCCCAGTCACCCCACCTTGAAATTGTCCAAAACAAAAAAATCATGCTCAAGTAGTTAAATCACCTCATATTATCTTATTTTGCGAACTAGACCCCGCCCCACTTAATTACAGAGTCCCCAAACTTAACCTTCACAACCCCTCCTCTACTTCAAGTCTACTAGATATGCCACTGACCACACAATGTGTGGAAGTATGTTTCATATCATGGTGTGTACAAGTATGAACGATTCACATGGTGTGTGTGCACATATGATTACTCACATGGTGTGTGCATGTACGATGTCTCACATGGTGTGTGCACATATGATTACTCACATGGTGTGTGCCTGTACAATGTCTCACATAGTGTGTGCACATGATTACTCACATGGTGTGTGCATGTACGATGTCTCACATGGTGTGTGCACATATGATTACTCACATGGTGTGTGCATGTACGATGTCTCACATAGTGTGTGCACATATGATTACTTACATGGTGTGTGCATGTACGCTTGACTCACATGGTGTGTGCATGTACATTTGACTCACATGGTGTGTGCAGGCATGGCCAACTCACATGGTGTGTGCAGGTATGATTACTCACATGGTGTGTGCAGGTATGACTGATCCACCATAGTGTGTGTGTGTGTATGTGCAGTTGACTCCAGTGGCGGCTCTAGGAAATATTTTCTGGGGGGCTAAGTTGTCCGACAGGGGGGAACTTGAGCTCGTAGACTCAAGCTGGGGGAAGGGGATGAAAGGGGGTTCCCCTCCCAAATGAGATTTTTTTTAAAAATAGCAACCTCTGGATGGCCGGAAATGGCACTCTCAAACTGTGACAGACATGTGTTGGCTTGTTGTGGGCCTATTTTTATATATTTTATGGTCTGACTGCCCGACAAGCTCTGTCCGGCGGAGGGGGGGCTTGACCTGTCCGGTGGAGGACTTAAGCCCCCCATCCCCCCGCTGGTGCCACCACTGGTTGACCCAGACAGTGTTTGCAGGCATGGCTGACTCACATGGTGTGTGCAGGTATGATTACTCACATGGTGGGTGCCAGTATGATTAGCTACTGTACATGGTACGTGTGCGTGTGTGCGCGCGCGTGTGTGTGTGTGTGTGTGTATGTACGGTTGATGCACATGGTGTGTGCAGATTGCAAATGCAGATATGGTTGCTCACATGGTATGTGTATACTAGTCTTAATAGCTAGCAATGTTTTCAAACCTTAGTGACTACCAGTCCATAAAGACTAATTAATGTTTCATATTAACTTTGTTAGAGAATATATACTGTGTCTGTCTGTCACCTAATTGCCTTGTCCCTGACATTTCATGAACCTGCCACCACTTTGCACCTTGACTGTCATTAATGTCAGTAAAGACTAAATAAGGTTTGTTTGATTATCTTTGTACACAGTTAGATAGGTTGGGATGAAGAATGATCCACACCTTATTTCCAGAAAGAATAATGTGCTAAGTATTTTTATCGTTCCGAAGTACATCCGTAAGTATATCTGAATACAGGATAATGTACTTAACGATAGAAGGTAATTGGTTTTAGAATTCAATAATCAAAGATGTTGATCAATGATTTCATCCACCTGGATTCACAAGATAAGTAAAATAAAGGAAGTTAATGCTCAGTTAGATATATTCTGATGATAACAATGATGCACATCCTAGTTATAGGAAGAAATAAGGTGCGCAGTTCGTTATCATTTGGACATACATCCGTAACGATATCTAAAAATAGGAAAATTGTTTCTTAATATTGGTTTTGGAATTAAATAACAAAGTTGTTGAACCTTCATTTAATCCATCTGGATTCACAAGATAAGCAAAATAGTAAAAGTTCAAGAAATCTGATTGTATATAAAGGTAATTAGAACAACAAAAGGTTCATTCAGTACACAGACAGCATTAAAGCAACAGCACAAAAGGATAGGAAACTGCAAACTGCTCTCATCAACATCCCATAGGATAAAGATTCAGGAAAACTGTCTTAGGTAAGTAAAACTTTAAATAAGTTTACATGCAGTTGCTTATTTAGTAATTTGCAAGTGAACATAATTGGGGAAAAGCCTTATGTTCTGCTTTTCAAACATCGTACGTCTAGTTTTGCTTGCAACTATTGTAGCATGTGGTTTAGTTTACTACTGTATAAAAGAATGTTTATGTACTTTCAGTCGCAAAAGATGGTTCACTGTCTATGAGTATTTTTTGGTATATAGTAGAATGTTAATGCACTTACTGGTAATTCAAATGCACAACAACCAGAAATTTTATTCACAAAGTAGAAAAGTCTACAAAAAGTTGCAGATCTGACTTTAGTTTAATAGTTTAATTCATTACCATAAGTGGAGGGCACAGATAGCCTGGCTCAATCCTCTAAATTTTTAGAGTTCTAATTTTTTTTTAATTCAGCTCGAGTGCCATAGCCATGGTGTGGATGAGGTGGCCTAGACCCTGCATCTGTCCCCTCCCTGGGGGCCCCTCCCCTCTATTTTGAATTCCTGGACCGCCACAAATTGTCCTCTGTTATTGGGTAGTATTACAAAGAAAACATAAATATTTAAATTCATTCAAAGTCTTGCAGTGAAGGATGAGAATCTCAACATCAGTAAGCGGTAAAAATGGCCCAGAAAAAATGGCCCCGGTAAAAAGGCTTCGATTGGTTGGTTAAAATACCCCCCATCCCCCAATGATAAAATTTATTAAATTCAAAATTGATTTTATATTTTAATTTTGAAGTACATAAAATTCTGCAGAAAATCAAAAACTAATCAATCAATCAATCAACAAATCATTTGTTTGGTTTAAAAAAAAATATATATTTTAATCAATTAACATATCATTCGTTTGATATTTTAAATAAATAAATCAAATATAAATATAAATCATATATTTTGTTTTTGTAAATAAAATAATTTATTTTTTAAAACATGCTACTGTTAAATAAGTATAAATAACTTTTTCCGTGATACCTAATGTTAAACGTCATGTATTATTTTATGAGGAAATTAATATATTATTGTTATATCTTTTCCGTGCGAGGTGCCACTCATCTGGAATAACCTTCCAGTGCACATTCAATCTTCTCCATCTGTGACTGTCTTTAAGTCTAACCTAAAGACTCACCTCTTTAACTAATTATCCCATTTTTATTCTTATATTATTTATTGTTGCATGATTTATTTATGATTCCAAACTTTGCCACTGCTTCTTTTGATTTGTTTACTAATTGTTCTGTGCATGGGTTAGGCAATGATCACGGCTGCTTGTGAGTTGTGAGGTGCCTAAATATGTGGGGTGCAGCGCTTCGTATCTGCAAAGAAAGGCGCTTTACAAATGTTCTGATTGGATTGGATCATTATCTACACATAACAGAAATAAATTTAGATTAATTTCAAGTTAGGTAAAGGGGAGCATGTGCATTCTTATTTACGCAAAATAACCTTTTATAATTTTATTTAAAACTAATAAATAAACGAATAAACAAATCTAGGTTGCCATAAAATTTAAATAACATATTTGTTTTAATCAATCAATCAGTCAATTGATTGAAGTAATATAATTTTATTTAAAACTAATAAATAAACAAATAAACAAATCTAGGTTGCCATAAAATTTTATTAATTAACATATTTGTTTTAATCAATAAATTAGTCAATTGACTGAAGTAATGATTTTATTTAAAACTAATAAATAAATGAATAAACAAATCTAGGTTGCCATAAAATTTAATTAATCAACATATTTGTTTTAATCAATCAATCAGTCAATTGATTGAATTAATATGATTTCTTTATTTTAAATAAATAATTTAATCAATCAATGTATTATTTGTTTTGTAAATAATATAATTTATTTTTTTTAAAACATGCTACTGTCACATAAGTTTAAAAATCTTTTTAGCAGAAATATTTTGTGATAAAAACTGTCAGTGATAAAATTTATTAAATTTGAAATTGATTTTATATTTTAATTTTGAAGTACATAAAATTCTGAAGAAAATCAAAAACTAATCAATCAATCAATCAATCAACAAATCATTTGTTTAGTTTAAACTGTTAATCATTTAATTATATTTGGAATTTAATGAATTATACATAACAGAAATAAATTTAGATTAATTTCAAATTGGGTAAAAGAGAAGCACATACGTACTGTATTCTAATTTTACTTGAACAATGAATAAACAAGTGAAGGTTCCCATAAAATTGGGTCACTGTTTATTTATTTATTTATTATTTTAATTCCTTCACATCCAATGGCAAGTGTACTTGGTCCTTAAAGGATGAAACGATTCTTTATAAACCAAGTCTCTTATTAAGGCCTAGGGAGTGGTGTTGCTTTTATGCTGCGCACTTACTGCACTCGATGGTCGCCGGCCAATGCCATTCTATGAACGCAACGCGGCAACGCGCACGCAACTGATCAATTTTAACGATGATCTGTTCAGACGACCACCGACGGTGTCGCATCGTCTAGCACTCACAGGGCGCGGAGTTGGGTTCATTGTGCGGCGGTTTAGTCAACGGTTGTACGATGCAGTGAGTACCCGGCTTTATTCAAAAAATTCCTACTGTGACTTGAATTGAACCCAGTTATTGCAGCTCACAATATTCCATAAACCTTATGTATGCCTATTGTCTGCATAAAAATAGGTAAATTTAGCTTAGCCTAAACTCTATTTGGAGACTACATGGCAATCCTAAGACTTGGGATCTGTTACAAAAAAAAAAAATTTAATAGACAATGATGGTGCTTAACCAATGAAAATTTAGACCCATTAAATCGTTTCGTAATTCTCGTCATTCTAATTCCTTCATGCTGCATATCTGGCCATTAACAGAACTGGTCCAACCCGGGTTATACATCCTGCTGGTTTGTTGAATAGGGAAGGGTTCTTAAATTATTTATTGCCACTGAAGCCCATGAGATGAAGTGAGTGATTGTAATGGGTTTCTTGTTTACATTCCAATGACTATATGTTGCTGGCCAGGACTCTCTTGTTAACTCCCAATGGACTCTTAAAACCAATTAAAGTTTATGGAGCTGCTAACAGCTCCCTCTGGACCATTTGACAGCTCACTCTCAACTACCAGACAGCTCACTATATGGACCATTTCTGCTAACGGGACTTTTGCCTCATGCTTGCCCTTTCATACTCAATCTTCTCGATTTCACACTTGATTTTTTCCCTTTACTTTTCATACAACCTCACTCTTGATCCAGCCAAATTCTCTCCTTCTGACAGTAGAACTGCTGGTCTTATGTAGGCCCTATTATCGTTTAGCTAAAAATTACCCCTTCATTGTATATATTTGTCGTCATACTTTATTCATTGACACTTTGTGTTTGGTGGATAATAGCGCTTGACGGCTGGTGAAGCAATAAAATTTAAATTAATTGAATTGAATAATTTAGTTATTAATTTGTATATAATTCCTGCAAAAAGTAATTTAAATAGCAACTAATGGCATTAGATGCCTTTTAAAAAACTAAATTATTTTATTTTTTTTAAATGCATATGATACGTTGATTCATTACTCTAATTCATAGGTGGGCAAAGTGCAGCCCGCAAGCTGCATAAGACTTTGGCCCTCCGACCAATTTTAATGAACCACCCCCCCCTGCTCAAATTTTTGCTTTTCTTTGCTGACTTTAAATACCTTAATAATTTATTTGAATAAACACTCAATTCAGAACCTTATTGCGAAAAAATGCCTCCCTTGAATACACACCCTGGGCATTTATTTTTTCCTAATTAACACATTCTATTATGTTCTACTACAGCAGAATTTTCTAGCCTGGTTGAGATCAATAACTCTTTATGATTAGGTAAACACACATTTTGATGGTAATTATGTGTTGTAGTATCACATTTACAGTGAAATTAAGGGAGCATTTGAGTATTTACGTATTAATTTTAAACCAAAAAAAATTAATGCCTCCCTCGAAATAAGCACCCCTCACACTCAAAAACCTTATTCGAATAAATATGGTAGTTGATACATTTTTAAAAGTATCAGTTTCATTACTAATTTGTATCAATTGGGGCAATTTTCACCTACTGTTTCTGTCATTCAGGGCCATTTTTACCAGGGGCAATTTTACCAACATCACCTCTATTGCTATGAAAGGAATAAGTTTACTTGCTATGACAATAAGTTTGCAGATGCATGAATATAATTGGGGGTGGGGAAGGTTAGTTCTTAAGTTTTTTTTTTTTGATGAGTTGGTTTTTTTTGGTTTTTTTTTAAAATTCCAGTTTACAGACTCCACTTTAGGTTTCCTGAAGGGATCCGGGCCTTCCGAGACCCCTCATTGTCAAATCTACTGAAACAAGGCCTTTGAGATTTTCTTCCACAGTTTTCTTTTTGTAATTTTATTAGTTTGTCTGACTGACTGACTTGACTAGGGTAGATAATATGATGGTTACCATATAATTAAACATGGGCAAATAGTCCATTTTTTGCAGGTCTACCTGAAAGTAAATACCGTAATTCCTGTAAATCAGTATCTCACAGCTATCCCTCCCAGGGGTGGATTTAAATTGGGGGGGGCGCCCCTTTTGGAAAGTTAAGAAAAGAAGAAAAAGAGGAAGAAAAAAAAAGAAATAATTGATTGCCCAAAACGACTCAGAGATTATTTTTGGGCATCTAGAAAACAAAAAATTCACAGGGGCATGTCCCCAGACCCCCTAGGGTAGTGTTGTTTCGATTGGCCCACTTTTGGGGGCCCCCACCCTTGGACATTTCTGGATCCGCCCCTGCTTCCCATTCTTGGTACAGTAAATCGGCATTCAACAAACTGGGTTTTTGGCCTGTGGGAGTCAATAATATGGCATTTGGGAAAGTGTGAATTGGATTATTGAGTTACCGTAGATATTAATTTTATTTTTCATTATTTACAAAATCCACAGATAATAACTATGAATATTCAATTTCTGTTTAAAATATACTCAGCATGGAAACATGATTTGCGACGAGTGACTGGTTTAGCTTGTCTTTGCCACATATGCTATGTAATACAAATAATAAACATTTCATTTCAGATCAACATGTATCTTGCAATCGCTATACAACTCGGCATTATCTGCATCATCCAAGCAGCTACTCAAGGCGATACCACATCCTGTGGTGGCTGTTGTACTGCTCCTGCAGGGATTCCTGGAATTCCAGGCAGCCATGGTGCTCCTGGCCCAATAGGCATGAAAGGAGATATTGGAGTAAAAGGAGAGAAAGGAAACCAGGGATTAGATGGAAAAGATGGACTTCCTGGTAAAATAGGACCAACTGGTCTACCAGGTGCTATTGGTGAGAAAGGCGAAAGAGGAGAGAAAGGTCAACAAGCCTCCACAAACAGCCAGCCCAAATCTGCCTTCTCAGTTGCATTTAAGACAGATCCAGGCCGTCTACCAGTTAGCCCAATAAAATACCCATTAATAATTACCAACTTTGGAAATCACTACAATAAAGAAACAGGCAAGTTTGTCTGTCAACATCCAGGCATCTACATCTTCCAATTTGCATCACTGTCATCTAACAACAACAACATTGTAACAAGCATCATGAAGAACGGGCAACGCATTCTCTCCTCATTTGAGAGTGGTTCAGACTACAAATCAGTTAGCAACATGGTAGTTCTTGATTTAGTAGCAAATGATGAAGTGTGGACTGAGCCTCTGTCAACCAACTATAACTATTATCATAGTAATGTCAACACCTACTGTTCTTTTTCAGGCTTCCTGCTTTATGCAACTTCATAAGCTGATAATTAAAAATTCAGTTGTTATGAGAAAAAGAACATAAATTTAAAAAAAAGGTTAGTTTTAATTTGTTTATGATGATTAAATAAAGTAGTACAGTATTACCAGTTTACAAAAGTCAAAAATACTGCATATAGATGAAACTATAAGTACCATCCAATTCTGTCAATTTAATGTGATATAAGATTACATATTAAGAATAACAATGTGTTAAAAATTACAATTACATCTCCTCTGCTTCCAGTAAAAATGATTTTGTTTATAGAGTATGGTAGTATAGTGAATAGGCAATTGTGTTATTGGTATAAAATAGCTTATAATGTTACATGTATAGTCCAAGGTACAGCAATGATGCAACCTAAAGTGCAAATAGTTCATCATATTTTACTAAAATAAAATCTGAATATTCTGGGACTGGTTATGTTACTTGGAATTTTCCATTATTATTGTAGATTGAATAAAAAGAACTGTTGTTTCAAAAACAAAATGTTGGTGCATATTTTCTTGTGTTGACCACATAAATACAGCGGCAGCTTATGTAGGGGTGTGCACAATCGCCACTCCAACCCCCCACTGAAAATGTTCAAAGCAAAAATATCACTCCCTAGTTAAAAATCACCTCATATTTGCAATCTAGCGCCCCCTTGCTTAATCATTGATCCAACAAATTCACCTTCGTCCATCCCACTTTTCAAGACTCCTGAATATGATGATGATGATGCCACTACATAACATGTGCAGGTTACTCAAATGGTGTGTCTCGGTAATAGGGAGCTTTCGACTTCTACGACGACACAACGCTAGAACGGAATCACTCATGTGTGACCGTCCTACTGGGCATCCTAGAATCCATGCGACGAGGAGAACTCAACATTCTTACATGCGCAAATAACTTTTAGTCACTTTATTACGTTCTACTTCCTACCACTGTCATGCAATCAAAAGCTTCCTATTTTTTCAAATTAAGGTGTGTGCAGGTGTGGTCAATTTACATGGTGTGTGCAGTTATGGCGATTCACATGGTGTGGGCAGGTATGATTACTCACATGGTATGTGCAGCCAAGGCAATTCAACAAAAGGATGCACATCTCTGCTTGCAAACCTAGCGTGTGCGTACAGTTTTTTTTAATCTTTACTGGGGTATCAACAATTCGATACTAGTTGCAAGTACAGCCGTCAATTATTAGTCTGTGCGTGCCATACGTTTTATGGTGTTAGTTACTATTTTATTAATTTTGGGTACTTCGCAATATCTGTTACGTCTGTTACACCAACAAAATGAAAAGTTATAACAAATGAAAATTCACAATTTTTATAAAAAAGTTTGTTCTATATATAAAGTTTTGTTCTATATATATATATAGATAATATATATATAATATATATACATATATATATACAGATAATATTAGTAGTTCAAATATTACTGGTTCTTTTAACTTTGCAATTTTCTTTTATAATATTTTTGGTTCTGAGGCAGATACGCAAACTTTATTTTTTCTTATTTATTGTTTTTTATTAACATTCAGCAGTAGTTCAAATCTTATTGGTTCTTTTAACTTCACAATGTTCTCTTTAATTTTGGTTTTTATTTTCACTTTATAATTTTTTCAATGTTTTTATTTAGTTTTTAATTTTAGTACAATACTTTATTCAGAGGCAGATACGTGAACTTCATTTAATTTCTTATTTAGTGTTTTTTATTAACATTGCAGCAGTAGTTCAAATATTACTGGTTCTTTTAAATTCACAATTTTCTTTATAATATTTTCATTTTTACTTTACAATTTTTTAAATGGTTTTTTTTTTTACTTTTTAACTTTAACATCAGCCCTAAATCAGTGAAAACTGAGGCATTCTACAGTACTTATTTGCATGGCGTTCCATACAATACTTTTTCAGAGTTTTCTATTCGCATCGCAATTCAACAAGATAGACAAGATAATTTTTAAAAGAACAGATTTATAATATATATCAGACAGAGAGCCTATCTGACCATTTATTACACACTGGGCAACTTTCCCATGACATTCTAACTTCTTTTAGATTAGTTAGGTGTTGAGTGTTATCTATTATATGGAGGTGGATAGTAGACAGCTGATATAAGGAGAGAACTACAAAGAGGTCTTCATTTTCACCAAAAGACCGTCATGACCAACAGGTGTGCAATCATTAATTTAACACCTATAAAGTCCTGTTTACACTATGACGATAAATGATAAAAAGCCAAAATCCAATTGTTCATATAGAAAATAAAAGAAGTAGAGGTTTTCAAACTAGCACGATTCCACAACGATTTATCATGTATACGATAAAAATATATTTCTCACAAATCAAATCAAATGACATCATAACATGGAAAAACGATTAAATAATAGTAGTATAAACTATTTTATCATTTTGCCATGATTATGACATCATTTGATTTGATTTGTTTAATATTTTTCTATATGAACAATTGCTTTTTATCTTTTTATCGTTGATCTTTATCGTCTTAGTGTAAACAGGACTTAACTCTCCTCAACATATATATCCATATCACCGCCATTTTTATCAGGTCTGTTCTTACCGAAACAGATTCAGGTATATCAGGAACATGTGGACATTCAGAGGAAAACCCAGGTTGAAGCCATGTCTGTGTTTCTACCACCACAATATTTGTTCCCCAAAAACAACCAGTTCTTTTCAGAACTATCTATTTATAACACAAGTATTTAATACATTATTACTTCGCCATGCAAACCTTCAAACAATTTGGAGTATTGTTGTCATTTCTAAAGATTATCTGAAAACAGGATGATGTACCATACATTATAGATGGATAACACAATTACAAGGTTGTTGAATTAATTAACCATCTGGATGCAAAGAATAAGTAAAGTAAAGGAAGCTTGATTTTCTTTGTACCAGATGATAACAAGGATCTGCACAATTTGTTATCATTCGGACATACATCCGTAACAATATCTAAAAACAGTATGTCTTTTATAATACCAAGTAATAGTGGTTTCGGAATTCAATAACAAATTTCTTGAACCTTCACTTGATTCATATGGATTCACAAGATAAGAAAAAACAGGAAAAGTTTAAGAAATCTGATTGGATATAAAGGTAATCAGAACGATGAAAGATTCATTCAGTACACAAGACAGCAGCACTAAAGAAACAGCACAAAAAACCATCAAAGGAAAGACTTTTGGAAGCTTCAGAGAACTTAGGTAAGTCGAAGTTTGCTTGCAGATGGTATCTAAGTAGTTGGTTACTTGTATCTATAGTTTACTGTGAATAGCAAATGTGTAGAATCCTATAACTGCTATTGCAATGAATGGAATTATGGTTGCAGAGTACAACAGTGTTACATCACAATACCATGTGATGCTACTCTGTTGCTATCGGCGACACAAATGTGTTCAACTGGACGCCATTTTCTCCACTGACAAACCAGTGATTCCAATTTCGAACATAATTCGAAGGATTTTTTTTGTAAATTTTAATTGAAAAACAAGAAGCACAAATAAAAGGAGCTCCAAGAAAATTGAACTAACAGTAAAAACACACATCCAGAATTAAGCATGAAGCATGGAAAATTAAAAGTTTGTGGTGTCCGTATAATATGTGCTGTAATAGAAGATCACTTTGATTTGATAATAATAACTACATTCATTTGGCATCCAAGGTATATATCATTTGCCAGGAAATAGGAGAGGCAACTTGCGTAACCTAAACAAAATAATTTCCACACTTTCCTCTTAACTTACACTACAAAAATACAAAATTTAAACATACAGTAAAGTTATATATTACTAATTGATATTAATTAATAATTAGATTTTCAAAAGTAAGTTAACATAAACAGTAAATAGTCAATACATTAAGATATAGTACTTGATGAGAGCAGACTTAAAACTTGTAATTGATAGGATTATTAATGTTGAAATATTGAACAATCCCGACACGATGGCGTGCATTTCAATACTTGGAGTATGATAAGGATTGTTGAATGAATAATAGTATTTGATCTTTGAAATGAAACATGCCAAATTATTGTCTTTTGCATTCCAATGTATTAGTCTGCCTCACACACCTTTCAATAAATCTAAAAAACTCATCAAAAGAGGAAGGACAAAATCCTATCATAATTTTTAATTGAGTTTGTGTAGTTTTGAAAACATCCTCTATACTTGAAACATTACGACTATAGTGAAAAGATATTTCTGATTTGCTGTCTTTTCTAAACATTATGATTCATGTTGCCCTACTTTAAATACTTTCAATCTTTTCAGTATTATATTTATCACCTGACCACGTAGCACAACAGTAACCTTTAAGTGACAGTGCTTTATATACAAGTTATGCATTGCTTTCCATCTATTAATAGAATGGGTGTCTATAAAAAAAAGATTATTAAGAAATAATTGGTGGTCTTTGCTTTTCGGGTCTTTGGTCTTTGTTTTACAGACATCCATATAGGGTATCTAGAAAACAAAGACCCTTGAAAATTTCAATAACAGACACCCAAAAAATTGCATAATTTTTATTATGTGAAAGCCTGGCGTATTATCATCAAAATGAAAGAGAAAAAATAGGGGTCCTCGTTTTTGGGTCTTCGGTCTTCGTTTTATAGCCACCCTTTAAAGCATGACTGTTTTATGTTATCTAGAAATAAATAAATGAAATGAAAACTTTTACAAAAGACAAATGAGCATATACATGATTTAAGTAATATATATTTGATCTAATCAATTCCAGATCAAAATGTATCTTGCAATTGCCATACAACTCAGCATTATCTGTATCATCCAAGCAACTGCTCAACATGATACTCAAGCCTGTAGTGGTTGTTGTACTGCTGCTGCTGCAGGGATTCCTGGAATTCCAGGCAGCCATGGTGCCCCTGGTGCTCCTGGTCCAATAGGCTTAAAAGGAGATATTGGAGGAAAAGGAGAGAAAGGAAACCAAGGATTAGATGGAAGAGATGGACTTCCTGGTAAAATAGGACCAATTGGTCTACCAGGTGCCATTGGTGAGAAAGGCGAAAGAGGAGAGAAAGGTGAACAAGCCTCCACAAACAGCCAGCCAAAATCTGCCTTCTCAGTTGCATTCGAGACAGATCCTGGCCGTCATCCAATTGGTCCAATGAAATACTCATCAATATTTACAAATGTGGGGAATAACTACAATAAAGACACAGGCAAGTTTGTCTGTCAACATTCAGGCACCTATGTCTTCCAGTTTACGTCAGGGTCATCTGACAACGGAAACATTGTAACAAGTATCATGAAAAATGGACAACGTGTTGTCTCGGCGTTCGAGAGTGGATCAGGCTACAAATCACTTGGCAACATGGTTCTTCTTGATTTAGTAGCAAATGATGAAGTTTGGACTGAGCCTCTGTCAGCCAGCTATAACTATTACTATAGTAATACCAACATTTACTGTACTTTTTCAGGCTTTCTGCTTTATGCAACTACATAAGGGATTTTAAACAATCTTTTAAGTACAAATTTCAAAAGCCAATTGTAACAGTTGTTATGAGAATGTGGACACAAATATGAAAACTGTTTCTATTCTCTCTTAGATTATTAAATGTTGTAAGTATTACCAGTAATTAAAAAAAAAAAGAAAGTAGAAATGCTGCTTATATGTTACAAGCACAGAATTATTCATTTCTTTTAGGATTAATAATGTAAGACTTCATATTCCGCTTTTCGCTTCTTGTTTGTCACTGCTTTGAATATCAGTAAAGTATACCTGAATATTAAGTGCTATACAATTACATATAAGGAATGTCAATATAAGGTAATAATTACAACCAGATCTGTATTGCCTCCTGTTTTATGCATCATTTTAAGTGTTTTGCAAATTATTACTATTAAGCACCAATTCTAAATCTGAAAATTGTAAAAATGGACAAAAACATGAAAATTCTTTTTTTTTATGATTAGTAAATAATACAGTATTAGTAAAACAGCTAAAATATTGGCTAGATATTAACACTGGAATACATATATAAGGCGTGTATAATGGTATGGCTGACTCACCAGGTGTGTGCAGGTACGGCTGGCTCACCTGGTGTGTGCAGGCATAGCTGACTCATCAGGTACGTATAATGCATGTAAGGCTGACTTACCTGGTATGTGCAGGTAGATGAATAACTACTCGGTTCCATCCATGATATTCATCAGCAGTGTAGATGCTTCCCTGCCGGTAATGAAGACAATCTACCTGGTTTAGCATGCATTCCTTCTGGAGTAGGGACCATGTTTTTCCCATGTCGATGGAAAACTCCAACTCAACAGCTGTAAAAACACTACTATGTTAATACCATTTATTCTATCTACATTTATAGATATTTTCACTGGACTCTGTTGGGCACTAGTAAGCATGATATTTATATTTTAAATAAAACATTATACTTAAAATAATTTTTATATCTTTTAAGCAATGTTCATCTTTTATGATCTAGAGTAAGGACCTAATATTTTGTATTTCTAATTTTGTCTCTGGCTAAATGCATTTGTAAAAATACTTTTTGGGAGTTTGCCAATTTCATCTCATTAGAGAGGGTGCACTTTATTGACTGTATAAAGTATATATAAAAGTGAGAGCATTTTAGCGGATGCAATCTACAACCTCTGAAGTTGCCTAGTAACGAAGAATTAGTTGAGAAAATTGTAGTCTCCTATGAAAAATAGTCTGTATTTCTCTTTTCTTTTATTCTTTTGCGTAAAACTAAAATTTATGCCAAATTTTTCAATGGTTTATAATAATTAGAGTAATGCATATGCATTTTTTCTATAAAAAAACCCCCTTTTTTAGTGAAATTTTGCCGAGAATGGGGCGTTCAATGAGTATTTTAGAAATAAAACTTGAAAACCATCAATCACGAGTGTGAGTGCTGAGGTTACTGTAATACTTACAATAACAAGATAAAGTCTCGTCACAACCCATGGAAAGTTCAAATTGCAAAAATGTGAACTCATCGACCAAGACATCCGAGGTTATGGTATAACGCATCAAAGTGTTGTCAGCAAAGCTAAGGACATGTCTTTGAGAACCACACACCTGATAATAGTAAAACATTTTGTATAAAAAATAAATTGCTCACAAATAGCAATAATCATTACATACATATCAACTCTGCCAAATTTAACAACAATTTCTACTTTCTTATGCTTTTTTCTTTTGGAAATTTTCTTTTGAAGAATATAAATCCATAATTATTATTATTATTATTATAATTACTATTATTATTATTTATATCAACAAGCTCCTTACAGTTGCTCTAGTGCTTCCTGGGGAGATCATCCAGTTTGGGTCATTTTCCAAGGCAAATCCATTGTCATCATTCTGTACATTATACTGGAAGTCTTCTTTAAAGAACCTTTTTCCATGAATATCTCCACCAATATAAATCTAAAAACAATTGAATGAAACATTATTTAAATATTATATTAATGTTAATGATGGAGACGTTTTTTGATCTTCATTAAAAAATACTTGAGCTTCCTCTTTTTGGTACCAGCCTTGCTTGATCTACCAAGATATCCGAAATTCTGTTTTTTTCCTAATTTGCAACATACAAACATTAAGCCTGGTTTCTATGACGCTGATAGGCCAGTTAAATCAGGGAGTGTTCTCGATTGCATGGGGGACAGCTACACAGTGCAAGGATTGCAGTAAAAATGCTGCAGCACCTTTGCAGCGATTCTATGGAACCAGGCTTCACTAACCTGATCAATGGCCCAAGCCTGTTGAAATGTCCCATTTGTCGAGGGCTGCCACCATCTGAGCCGGGATGCATTATATCTTGCCATATATGGCAACTCTAAGGCTACATATATCACTGAATTATTTTTTTTGTTGAATCGTAATTCCTCAATGAGAATCCATGACAACCCGCCGTTTGTTGAGTACTGCAAAAGAACAGGGTTGTCACGATTGATTCCAGGAGCAACTTCACAACCAAGTCTGATGTAGAATTGCACAACACTAGAAAGAAAAAAGCATTAATGTAAAAAAAAAAAAAATCAATAAATACAGCAAGTTCATATTTTAATTTTTTTTAAAGTGCTTAAAAGATGAACCAAATATTTCCAAAATCATTAAGGTAAGAACAAATTAAATATCTGTAAATATATATCAAATTCCTCTTTTTCCCCAAACTTGATGAAAGGAGGTCTGAAATTGATTAGTTACAATTTTTTAACTTAATAATAATTATAATTAATTAATACTAAATTAATTAGGTTTGGCACTAGCAGGTTTGTACACTGTTATTTTCTTTAAATTATGACAAGAAAATACATACTTTTCCATTTACCACATAATATCACTACTTCTATAATTTTTGCATTGTTCCTTAAATTAGCTAAGGTTTTTTACATAAAACCTCTGAATTTAATATTTGATCTGTTACTTTAGTTTACTAAGGTATATCCTGCAAAAGGTGTTAGGATCCATACTCGCAGAGCAACTGGTATGAAACACTACACCGGGGTAATCCCCTACTCCTCTCTGTACACTCCTTATCCAATAAGACTTGTTCCACCACTGAACCACAGGCATCTGTTATGTCAGTGAAAATTCAAAACTTATTTGATGGTTTTGATGGGAATTTACTATCTTTAATATGATTTAAAAACTGTTAAGTTGTTCCAGATTTTACTAGTATACTTTAATTACACATTTGTTTTCCTAACCGCTTTACAAGATACAAGATGTGTTTATTGGTCAACGTGAACAATTTAGTTCACATGTAATTTGTTTACCTTTAACAGAGAATAAAAACAAAATCAAATCCAATTGATTTATTTTATCTGTATATATTATATATATATATATATATTTTTCTTTTTGCTATCATTCTTTATTCAGTGACAAAAGAATGTATACACAAAACCCAGGTCATGGTTTAGGGGTTCCTAAACATATGCAGGGTAAGAAAACACATTGACTTAAAAACATTATTCCAAGAAGGGGCAGTTTTCCTAGGTTTCACTGTGTAATGTATTAAATGTATAATATTATTAAATTGTGGAATTAAACATTGAACGTTGAACATTGAAAAATGCAAAAGACAAGTAACTACTAAAAAGAAACATATTGCAATAAAGAAGTTGAAACCTAAACACTTAATAAAAAAATTAAAGAGTCACTTACGTTGCAGTAGTAAGATCCATGTCAGTAGTGACCAATATCCTTCTACCACTGTCTGTAAAATGCATACTTCTTCCAGTGATTAGGACGCCACATTTTTTTGTTGGCTCACCTCCACTCCACTGGATGAACTTCCTTCTTTCTAGTGGACCTAATCAAGAGAAACAAAATTCCATAATAAAAGGTTCGTTTTTAATGACAATCCAGTCAGTATATCATCGACAATAAAAAAAAAATTATAAAGAAAATAAAAAATTTATTTATTTATTTTTGCATTGAAAAGCAAAATATAAGCAGTGTTTCTTTACCTTCAAATGATTCGGTTAAAAAGACTGGATTTGCTCTTACAAGCTGGCAATGCTCCCCAGCATAGCCTTCATCACATAAGCAAGTGTTTCTATCTTGACAAAAACCATGCCCACTACAATGGCACATTGGTCCAATGTACACAGTATCCAAGCCCCAAGGCTTGGGACTTTCACCATGTTCGTAGAAGCCCTGCACCCACCTAAACCTTACAGATCTAAATACAGTGCAAATAAATAACAATAAATCTTGATGAGATTGTGTAACTTAACAAATGTGGCATGGGTAGCCCTTACAGCACTATCAAAACATAAAGCAATTACAATGAATGAACAGAAACAATTGACTTGCAAGTTTTTCAGAAAGATACCATTTGTAACATCTTGCACAGGAGAAATAATAACCAGAGATGATGTTGATTTCAATGCTATATTTATTCGGATAGGAACTAGGATCTAGGAATTATGAGAACATAAGACAAACAAAGCATAACTGGAAAAACCCCCAACTTGACCGGGCACTATGCCAGCATACGTCAAGCTAGAAAATAAAGTAAAATATAAAAAAACATTTATCAATATTCATACTGCAATGTCCTGTAAACAATCAGAGTGATCATGTAATGTACAGTTATTGTGCGGTACAATTACAACTGACATTCACATAATAATAAATGCATAAGATTAACTACGGCATAAAACTTAGTGGGAAACCCTTGGCTTTTACCACAAAATAACACCTATATTAATAATCAATGTGTCACTACGGTACTGTATATACAAGTGTGCATATGCAACATATTTCAAGTTAACATAGATAATTGATTCAGTAGGCTTATTGACTTGCTTCAAATTATAACATGCAAGCAAGAATCATTTAACTAAATTCCAACAGTTAACTAGTTATAACAATTAAAATGATAATTGGCATCATAACAATAGTTGTCAATCATAATAATAATTGAATTTAATTGAATTGACTTGCAAGTTTTTCAGAAAGATGAGCTATGGAAAAATATGGCAAACAGTAAAGAAAATAAATATGCAAATATTTAAAACAGACATCAAAATAATTGGTACAAAACTATGGTACAACATAATATCAAAATATACAAAAATTAAAATCAATAAGGCTAAATAAAAACAGACCTATTGAGTTAAAGAAACATACCCACATATATGAAGTCCATTTAAACTTATACTAATTCTTCTCCAATCAGGGGATTCCCCGCTATAATAAATACTTGGAGTGTGAAGGTCACGGGAGCAAGCATCTGAGGAGAAATTTGTCGCATAACAATTAGGACGTAGCAACTCCCACGTAGATCCATGGTCACGGCTGTAGTCCAGACGAACAGGATCTTTATCCGACGAATAAGATGTACATCCAATGTTTATCTATTTTAGAAATAAAACAGAAAAAATTGTTTATGATTTGCTTTACTTGACGATCTGGCATATGCAAAGTTTCTTTGTAGTGAAATATAATGTTAACATTCCTCCTAAGAATCTACCTCAATGTATATTTACTTACATGATGAATGTGAGACAGATTACCAGTAAATGTGTTACTTGTTTTCATATAGTGTAGGGTTTTGGTGCATTCATGTGGTACTCTTAGATAGATGGTTCTATTTCTTATGTGGGAGTGTTCTTTCAATTCAATTCAATTCAATTAACATTTATTCAATTAATTAATAAATACATCAAATGATAAATAAGGTGGACAACATTAAAATTAATTAATTAGGAACAATGGCAATATTCATGCATATATTCACAAGAGAAAACTTATTAAATGAGTAAATGTTTACATTACATATAGGTTTCTTATTGTTCAAAAATGTTTTCTTACTTCAAACTGTATCAATGAATAATCATCTACATGTACATCTGTTGTCATGGCAAATCGTTCTCCTGCACTTCGATGAAAAACTAAAGCTTTCCTTGTATCAATCCTGAGGGCATGGATGTAAAAATATATAAAATTGAACATCACTTAAGCCCTGTCCAGACTATCACAATGTATTTGACAAAAACATGCCTAAATATGGTCATGATGACATCACATCATGACCATATATAGGTATATCATGACCATATATGAACAGTTTTGTTTTGTCAAAAAAAAGATTAAAATCTGAACAGCGCTTTAGAGATTACATTACAAGCTTCATAATTATAAATTTGGAAATATCAAATATGTGTACAAACTTTTAATACTGTTCATGGCTCAAAATTCACGCTAGCAAACTAGCAATTTGCTAGTAGGTTTGTCATAATTGCTAGATAAACATTCACAAACCAGCAAATTTAAAAAAATGATTGCTAGTTGGAATATCTATACAAAATACCTTGTAGTTAACCTAGTAAATAAAACAAATTAGGTAAAATAAAAATATGAAAGAAAAGTCACATAACCTGGAACTTTTCAAAATAATATAACATAAAATTAATATAAAATAAATATAATATAAATTGATTATACTCATTTGGTTATTTCTTTGTGATATTTATTGCACTACACTCACCATAACAGAAAATATTATATTTCAACATTTAACACATACATTTCAATGAAGTACATCATAATCATTAGTTGTTATTTTCACACAATTTATTTTCCAAATTTTAGCAATAGGTTGCCAGTGGCTAAGAAAGTAAATGTCTAGGCCTGCATATAGTCATGTCTTATAATTATTGTCGCAGTGTCAATCCATTTGATTAATTCAAGGGAATGAAACTAATTTAAACTCACAATTTTGAGACGGCATCTCCAGAATAAGCATCAGCTTTATCAACAGAACTAGTTGGTGAGCAGTAGGACTGGGAGAAGGATCCTCCTGGATGGAACAACCAACTTGAACTAAGTTGTTCCGGCTTCTGAAAATCCTCCAGGATCATTCTCGGAGTCATCAGGTTACCTCCTATGACCACATTATCAATAGCCCATGTTTGCTTGTTGGCTCCTAAAAAAAGGAAAACAGGTAAAACAGGTTAATATAGATGATTTTTTTTCAATGGTTGATTAGCTGTATGCATGTTTGCCAAACATTTCTTAGACTATTATTTCTGCTGTGGAATCTTTTTAGTATCAAGCTAATGTTCTTTCACATGGGCCAGTTGTGGTTCGATAATTAAGACTCATTACACGAATGTGCATGTCTTCTTGAGAAATGCACTTTATCTACGTTGCTTCGGTCTACAAAGCTGTATCAATGGGTACCAGCAAATTGCTGGGAGTAACCTGTGGTGGAAAAGCATCCCACACAGGGGGAGCATCATGCTCTCATCCGCTTCACGCTACTTGAAAATGGGGATAAGCTCTGGTGCATATGAGCCCTGTGGCTCAGCAAGGATTTACTTTACACAAATCAGAAATTATATAGTCTATGAATGAGATACCAGTTTTCTTCTCAAAAACAATAGAATTGTCCAACTCCATATATAACATGGTGTTAACAATGTTATGTAGCAGGCCTCAATTTGCCTTGAAGTCAACATAGAATTGATGTTTAAAAAGTGGATTCTAGTAAATTATGAATTGAAAATCAAGTCTTAATTGTAAGAAAGAATTATGATGTTGACAGGATTTGAAAACAGGCCTATGGGATTTGAAGGCAGGTACCTTAACTAACAAACCATAGACCCACTACATCCTTTCCTCTATAGTCATTATTCACAGTCCTTCATACAAGCATACATATAAGTGTTTTGCCCAAGGACACAAGCAATGTCACATTGAGAAAACAAAAAACTTTTAATACATACCAGTGTGTCTTGGCTGCCAGAATCGGAACCGTGTTTTATTACTCAGTGAATTAGCAGACAGTTGGATATTGAAAAACTTTGGTGCCTTTGCAGAAGGGGAATAAATCTCCTTCAATGTTTTCCATATGATGCCTCCATTATTGGAATATTGGACAAGGACGCTGTGACCGCGGTGTGCATCGTTTACGCCAGCTGAACAGCCAAAGCGCATAGTAAATTGTATGTATTCCATCATGAAAGCGTCCAAGTCAGTTGATGAAAGCAGCCTCAGGCCATCCTGAATGGAAAATGGAAAGTGGTGCATTTAATAAAGTCATCAAAAAATTCAAAGATTTAATGATATTGGTGATGATACCAACAACCAGGAGTGTTTTCAAAGTGGGTATGTTATAGATAAGTGTTCTGAATGCCTTAGTTTTCCATGCTTACCTGGTTGAAGACAGCAGCTTGATTAGACACCATGATTCCGCAGCTTTGACTCATTTGAAAGCCATGTTGCTCTATCCAAATATCTATACAAAATACCTTGTAGTTAACCTAGTAAATAAAACAAATTAGGTAAAATAAAATATGAAGAAAAGTCACATAACCTGGAACTTTTCAAAATAATATAATATAAAATTAATATAAAATAAATATAATATAAATTGATTATAATCATTTGGCTTTTTCTTTGTGATATTTATTGCACTACACTCACCATAACAGAAAATATTATATTTCAACATTTAACACACAAATTTCAATAAAGTACATCATAATCATTAGTTGTTATTTTCATACAATTTATTTTCCAAAAATATTATGTTGGGTTGGTATCAATATATTTTATTAGTTGAGCAACTCTTTTTGCCAGTTACATGTTTGACGACTAGCAAATTTTAGCAAAAGGTTGCTAGTGGCTAAGAAAGTAAATGTCTAGGCCTGCATATAGTCATGTCTTAAAATTATTGTCGCAGTGTCAATCCATTTGATTAATTCAAGGGAATGAAACTAATTTAAACTCACAATTTTGAGACGGCATCTCCAGAATAAGCATCAGCTTTATCAACTGAACTAGTTGGTGAGCAGTAGGACTGGGAGAAGGATCCTCCTGGATGGAACAACCAACTTGAACTAAGTTGTTCCGGCTTCTGAAAATCCTCCAGAATCATTCTCGGAGTCATCAGGTTACCACCTATGACCACATTATCAATAGCCCATGTTTGCTTGTTGGCTCCTAAAAAAAGGAAAACAGGTAAAACAGCTTAATATAGATGATTTTTTTTCAATGGTTGATTAGCTGTATGCATGTTTGCCAAACATTTCTTAGACTATTATTACTGCTGTGGAATCTTTTTAGTATCAAGCTAATGTTCTTTCACATGGGCCAGTTGTGGTTCGATAATTAAGACTCATTACACAAATGTGCATGTCTTCTTGAGAAATGCACTTTATCTACGTTGCTTCGGTCTACAAAGCTGTATCAATGGGTACCAGCAAATTGCTAGGAGTAACCTGTGGTGGATCAGCATCCCACACAGGGGGAGCATCATGCTCTCATCCGCTTCACGCTACTTGAAAATGGGGATAAGCTCTGGTGCATATGAGCCCTGTGGCTCAGCAAGGATTTACTTTACACAAATCAGAAATTATATCGTCTATGAATGAGATACCAGTTTTCTTCTCAAAAACAATAGAATTGTCCAACTCCATATATAACATGGTGTTAACAATGTTATGTAGCAGGCCTCAATTTGCCTTGAAGTCAACATAGAATTGATGTTTAAAAAGTGGATTCTAGTAAATTATGAATTGAAAATCAAGTCTTAATTTGAAAACAGGCCTATGGGATTTGAAGGCAGGTACCTTAACTAACAAACCATAGACCCACTACATCCTTTCCTCTATAGTCATTATTCACAGTCCTTCATACAAGCATACATATAAGTGTTTTGCCCAAGGACACAAGCAATGTCACATTGAAAAAACAAAAAACTTTGAATACATACCAGTGTGTCTTGGCTGCCAGAATCGGAACCGTGTTTTATTACTCAGTGAATTAGCAGACAGTTGGATATTGAAAAACTTTGGTGCCTTTGCAGAAGGGGAATAAATCTCCTTCAATGTTTTCCATATGATGCCTCCATTATTGGAATATTGGACAAGGACGCTGTGACCGCGGTGTGCATCGTTTACGCCAGCTGAACAGCCAAAGCGCATAGTAAATTGTATGTATTCCATCATGAAAGCGTCCAAGTCAGTTGATGAAAGCAGCCTCAGGCCATCCTGAATGGAAAATGGAAAGTGGTGCATTTAATAAAGTCATCAAAAAATTCAAAGATTTAATGATATTGGTGATGATACCAACAACCAGGAGTGTTTTCAAAGTGGGTATGTTATAGATAAGTGTTCTGAATGCCTTAGTTTTCCATGCTTACCTGGTTGAAGACGGCAGCTTGATTAGACACCATGATTCCGCAGCTTTGACTCATTTCAAAGCCATGTTGCTCTATCCATTCATGGGAAACGGTTGCATTGTCAAAGTCTTCCTTCAAGATATTAGGTCGAGTTACAATTGGAACACAACTCTTCTCTCCATATCCCGGATCACATCTAGTGAAATCACAAAAATTAGGAATGACAACTACTTTCATGAGTAATGGCTCAAAGGACGCCATTCAGGTTTTGGTTTTCATGATTCTTAATAATTCATTATAATTATATTTTCATTTTTGACAGTAAGTATTAATAAAACATTATTTCTTTTATAAAACTAAAATGGGTATTAAAATATAAGGAAAAAAACATAGCACAGTAAAACTTAATAACAATTATACTTTAGATTGATATAGCGCTTTACACTAATAATAGCCCCAATACAATAGCATAACTAGGCATATCATTAATCTTCGCTTACATGTATTTATTTATATATTTTTTTTTAGTAACAATAACACAATTAGTGAAACTGCTGCATTTTGTCTTACTTGCATTTGCCATGGTGGCATTTGCCATGGCCAGAGCACATCCATGGACACCCATTGCCTAGATAAACATTATCCAACGCCCACTTGTCACTATTATCCCGGAACTGAGGCTGTGACCACCGAAACCGTGTAGCTGGGGATCTTGTTTTTCAAAAAGAATGTAGAGATTTACTATTAATAGAACTGTTTGGGTGTTTTTAACTAAAGCTTCCCTTGCATCAATTATTGTATAGATTTAAAGAAATATGGATGCATATAAAATAAATTTAACATTGTTTACGGTACATTTAATTATGATGATCAGACAAGCAAGGCTGATCACTAAGAATCTTAACATTTTTGAGGTCTGGAAAGTACAATTGTTTACAGAAGTGAAAAATACTGTTTTGAAAGGATTTGGGCCCAGGGCCCTGGGATTGGAAGGCAAGCATCTTCACTTTAAGGTACAGTTTCTCTTTAGTCTTATGACTAATTGTATAGCATGTTTAACAATGTAACATCAGATCTTATATTTAATATTCTTATTGGGCATGTAACTATCTTAACAACACATTCCCGTATCATGGTCAGTCGACATAAACAAACATACACACAAAAAAGTAGGTCAACTGACTTTCTGAAGTCAAGTAAATTGTATTTCAGTGAAGTAAAAACAATGGGATAATAATGTTTTGGGTTCTTACACTGCAGCTTTTGGAAGAATAAGACTAACACGTTTCCATTTCATAAAAAGCTGTGCATTATAGATACTAGCAGACCGGTAATGACCACAGCCCATGTTCGGTGGCAAGCACTTTTCCGTAACCAAATTCCACGTCTTTCCCATGTTTACTGAGAACTCAAGATGAACATCATTACCATTCGGAAACGTAAGGGACTCTTCACAACCAATGACAAGGTCAAACTGCAGAAAAGTCGTATCTTTGACTTCAAAATCCCACGTTTCTGCATATCTTGGAACAGCTTCAAAATTTACAGAAACAACAGTTAACTATAATTGCATATAAATTTTTATGTAGTTACAAAAGACCCTGTTTCATTCAATGAGGTGGAGCCGAGTTGAAATGAATAGTCAATCTTTCAACGAATGAAAATATTCTTTCCATTGCGCAAATACAAAAAATTTGTTTGTTTTATAACACACCTAAAATAGATTTTGTCATTTGATATTTTATTTTTTTTAAAATCTATCTTTTTTCTGAATAGAGATTCTTGTCATTTGATATTTCATTTTAAAAATCTACCTTTTTTCTAAATGGAACAGTCCTGTATCTTTCTAAGCAATCAAAAAATTGTATTAGGTTAAAGTCATGTTGTACCCTAGGAACTGTGTAATAGACGTCATTTTATGGATTTAACCTTCCGGAAAAATTCTCTGTTTAATAAGTACAATGCAATGAACAAAACGGATGGAAGTAAAATACACAGTGGAACTAGTCTATGATGAGTGACAAAATTTGGTTAATAAACAATGTCACATGATACAAGATCCATCAATCAAATGACAAGGATCTATTTAGGTGTGTTATAATAATATATTAATTAATTTGTGTTGAAAGTGCACAGAATTATGTAATGAAATATATAAACCTCATTCTAATTATTTAATATTCTAATTAATATTTTTTCACAAAACATCCTGAGACTTTCTACTTTCTCACCTCTTGCTCCTTGAAATGTCTGTGCAAAGCCTTGTGACTGGCATACCACTTGATTTAATCCACCCATCAACATGTACCACTTGTCAGTGATTGGATTAAAATCATCCTGGAAACCAGATACTTTTGTGTCATTCGCACCTATCAAGACATTGTCCAAAGCCCACTGTGCCCTAGGATATGGCTGACCTACATAAAAGGCAAGAGGAAAAAATAGTTGTAAATACTATCAAAATTAAGTTCTGTCAACATCAAAACCAAAACTAAGGCCATGAGTACCAGCACCAGTAGCACCAACAGAAGAACCAAAGAACTGCAACACTAGTGGCATAGGGAAATAGCGTAACATCATCAGAACCACTGCTCTAACACAAGCAATAATAAAACAGCACCAGAAAAACCATCAAACAGCACCTGCATCAGAAGGATATCAGTACCAGTAATAATCACAAAAATAAAACAGATAAATAATAATAGTGCAGTGCATTTATCAATAATGGACTGTGTCATCGTTTATTTTATTTTTTTTATTATTGGAGAATGAATGTAAATATAAGAAAAAAATAGCATTAAAGAATTCTTACATACCCACAAGTGATGATGTAGGCTGCCACCATCTGAACTTGGTGTCTTCAGTCTTGGCACTTGGTGGTAACTCAATAGTAATCTGCTGGGGGGCATCCTTCAACATAAATGGGTTCAATTCTCGCAGAGTATTCCAATGAATACCATTGTCATTTGTGTATTGTACAATGACAGATTCATCTAGATTCGTTGGTTCCTTGCATTTATAACCCTTCTCCGAGTTTCCGATACGAATGTAGAACTGCAAAATCCTAGCGGTTTTTGAGGTCAGATTGTAAATTTCACATATAAGCAATTAGTATAGTTACATATCATAATCTAGTAGAAATTATTATAGGAATGTTATATGAACAAAATATTTTTATAAATCATTATGTATATAAAATAAAATTATAAAATACTAGTTATTCACATTTTTTCCCCCCTGCTGGTTTAGCAATGCTCTTTGCAAAAAGCTTGTAAACCACCAGGCACATGGATTAAAATTTGTAATATTATAAATACAGTGTGACCCTGGTCAAGCTATGACACTAAAGCCCTGTCCAGACTATCAAATTTATCATGATTACATCATATCATGACCATATATAGGCACATCATGACCATATATAGGCACATCATGACTATATATAAGCACATCATGACCATATATAGGCACATCATGACTATATATAGGCACATCATTACTATATATGGGTACATCATGACCATATATAGGCACATCATGACTATATATATATATGGGTACATCATGACCATATATAGGCACATCATGACTATATATGGGCATACAACAGTTTTTTGTCAAATGAAAATTTGATAGTGTGGACAGAGCTCAACTTAGTCAAAGATCTCCTTTAACAGTTAGACTGAGCATTTGGATGCTGGAGTCGATGGCTCCTTCAATTACTCTGGCAATAGTGGGAGGAACAAATCTGTACTGACACAGTGGTAAATGTATACTTACAACTCTACAAAATCTCAAATTAATCTACAAGTACATACTTAATTGTTGTGGTATTGACACCAATTGTCACTGCTTCTCTTGGACCATGCATGCCAAAATAAAGGGAATTTCCCATTTTGACCTGGCCACAGTCTTGATTGATCTCTGTACCGACAGTCTTGTCCCACCATGTCTGTTGTGGAGTATTCCATTCAAATTGGTCATTTAGGCCAGGGAGTGTATTAGTATGAGGCTTACAGCTTGGACCTGTTAAACAAATGCTATGCATCAGGTTTCAAATTACTCAGCATGATGTTATAAACTTACTGCGGTGGCCCCACTATGTCTTCTAATGTCATCAAATAAAAGCAACAACTTCAAAAATGACACAGACATACCTGAGAATGCTAAGTCACAGACACACCCACTCTCAGTGCAGACACCATGACCATTACAATTTTGAGGACATGGAGTTCCAATGTACACATCTCCAAGAGCGAACACAGGAGCATTCCGATCAATATCCTGGTGCCAACGGAACTGCGTCTTCCTAACAAGATTTACATTCAACTTTATTTTTGTCCAAAGGCATAGAAATATCATATAAACACATAGGAAAGAGGCAAAATTTACTTTCAAGGCTTGAAAATTACATTTTGCCATTTTAACTGAATGAAAAATATTGTCACTCTGTTACATAGTTAATATTTCTGTTATATATTTATGAGTGGATCCTTCCAATGATATTTTCTATGTAAAAAGATTTTACAAATGATAAACTATACTGAATATTAAATACTGAATTAATTGGGTCTTTAAAGAAGGCACAAAATTCCAGGTTTCAGCTCATCGGCATTTTGAATTACACATTTTTTGTTTCATATTACAGTAATGCATAAGGCAGTAGGCTCTCATTTTGGCGTCATCGTGCTGGCAAACAGCTCTGAAGCTAGCATGCTGTGAATTTCTTAATGCAAACTTACTTTCCAACAACATACTCTGGCAATTCAATAACAACAAGGTGCCAAAGACTGTATTGACCCATGTGATAAATACTGCCCTCTTGTGCCACTTTTTTAGCAACCTTTCCACACAAAGCATCTCCTTGACCAGAGGGCCCACATGCTGGTTCAACTAGCTCCCATGTCATACCATTATCATGTGAATATTGCAAATATACAGGTGCTATAAATGCAAATTTGGACATGCATCCAACAACAATCTGTAGAAACAAACACAATTTGTACATCACAAACGAACCACAGTATAGACTTATAAGAGGATATTTCATTTTGGGTTAGTGTATGCTTACTCTGATAAAACAATCGCAATTAACTTTTTACATTTTCTTTACTTTCCTGGTTCTTCAGCAATTCTTTGCTACCTTCATTGTTGCCTCAGCTATACCATATCTCCGGTGGAAATTGTGATGCATTGTTCAAACTCCTAAACATTCAACAAAAATTCTTTACTTTACCCACAATCTTCAAGTGATCAAATAGATTCAGACTTACTCTGAACTGGATAATGAATCCAGTTGTGACATCAATGGCTGTTGTAACAGCTGATCTGTCCCCCTCTGTTCCTCTGAACACAAGAGCTGGTCCTTTCTTTATGCAATAATCCATTTCCATGTCACCATTACTTATGCTCATCATTGGCTGATCATTCTGAGAATATTTAAAAGTTTAACATAAATTGGTGGTTCTACATATTTATTTAAGAAATGATTAAATTGTCAGGTTAATTAGGATAAAGGTCTGTCCACACTATCAAAAAACTCTTGTATGCCCATATATAGTCATGATATATGGTCATGTGATGTCATCATGACCATATTTAGGAATGTCACATGTTTTTGTTAAACAATATTTGATAGTCTGGACGGGGATTAAGATTACCTCTTCATCAAACGGTTAATATGGCCCACTTTCTCTATTTGTAGTCACTTGTGTTTTATTTAAACCTAGTCAGTGTACATTTTGGTTCTATGGTAACTGAATATCCTACTCATCCACCTGTATGGTAATTATAATATGACAACATACTCATTCATCTGTATGGTAATTCTTTTTACCTGATTTGTTTGAAAACCTTGATCATTGCCTATGAACACATCATCCAAAGCCCACTGATCTTGGTCAACACCAGAATGAAAAGGCTGCCACCAACGGAATCTGGTACTAGCTGTCTTAGCCCTCAGTGGCAATGACTGGTGAACAAACCTAAAAAGTTAATTTATTATATTTCATTTTTAAACAGAAGAAGCCAAGGATATTCCACTAGCGATGTTAATCACTTTTTAAGAAGCAATCCCTTTCACAACACCAACTGATACGCTTCCTGAATTAAGCCTTATTTTGAGGCTTAGGGAGTGGAGTTATTATAGGCCATAAGAAATATTCTCCCACTGACAGAATTGAAGGATGGATGGATTTAATCGGTGTAAACACTAAGGATAGCCCACGAAAGTCTGAAGAATCTTAATTTTCTAGACCCTTTTCTCTAAAAATCCCTCCCTGGGCCTTCTACATTTTAAATTACTGGACCCGGCACTTTTTTAAACACCTATCAGCTTAGGCTGCCAACAACATACAGCAAACTGGCATTGCATCAGTTAAGCTGACCGCATGCACCAAGCTTTATAGAGGGCGCTTACTTGGCTGTCTTATATTCCTCATAATGTATCTCCAAAAGTAAGTCCCACTGAATTCCACCATTATTTGAATACTGCAGCAAGACAGCTTCTTCTCTGCTGTCTGCTCCGTAACAGCCACTCGTACTTCCTCCTAGCTTGATTGTGAACTGGACGAAATCTACTGCTATGGTATCTATGTCATGACTCACCAACTGACGCACTCCAGTCTACAATTCAATAAAATTGAATGTTTTAAGGGCGACGATGTACCTATTACAAATTGGTCATTGTTAATAGTATAGATTATATAAGTAATACTAATAGTAATAATAAGATAATA